CCCCTTTTTTTTTTTTTTTTTTTTTTTAATTCCCCCCCTTCCCTAACGGGGTCAGCAATTACCGCCGGAAAAAAAATAATAAAAAAAATTTAAGTGAGCAGGTGACGAGGATTGTTCAGGTGTATTGTGACCAAGAACATGCTCTCTGATTAAAAAAAACAAAAAAAAGGAGCATTTTCTAGATTCCCGACTTTCACGGCCTCTGATTAAAAAAACAAAAAACAAAAAAAAGGAGCATTTTTCTCGATTCCGACTTTGAGTGAATAAAGCTGGTTAAAAAAAGAAAAACTGATTTATGAAAAAAAAAAAAAAAAGGAAACTGCGTGATGAAGAAAACAAGTGCAAAAAAAAACAACAACGAGCCTCTTTGTTCTTGTCACTCGAAGATTAAGCTTTCTTTTTTTTTTTTTTTTTTTTTTCCATCGCAATCAACCGTGCGCAAAAATGCATGTTTGGTTGCCTTCTAAAGGGAGAGAAAAAAAAAAGAAAAATAAAGAAAAACAGAACAGACTAGAGACGAAAGCCAAAAAAAGAAAAACAAAAGAGCCAAAAAAAAGAAAAAGAAAAGAGAACGAAAATTTTGCAACTACATTTGAACGAGTCGCGTTTTTTTTTTTTTTTTTTAATTTTTTTTTTAATTTTTATTTTTTAAAGGAGTCACGACTTTATCGGACGTCCAGCACTTCGTCTTCGTATTAAAAAAAAAAAAAAAAAAAAAAAAAAAAAAAAAAAAAACAACAACAACAACAACAACAACAACACGTCGAATGGCCAAAACTGCATTTCAACGTATGGCGACTACCGTCCTCCCCCGAACATAACGCACCCTGATACTGAACGTACACAAGCGATCTTTCCCGTCAGGTGCAGCCAAAACTAGGGAGCGTTTTCTTAAATAAAAAAAAAAAAAAAACTAGGGAGCGTAGTGTTCGAGGGAAGACGGGTACAGTGAAAAAAGCGACTGAAGTGAAAACAGCAGCTTGGATCTGTACTCGTTGTCGCCCCAAAAAAGTGTAAACAATCTTTGCGTTTGATTTTTTTTTTTTTTTAACAGGAAATCAACATTCACTCGACCCCCTCTATTGTTTAATGACAAAAAGGAACCTTATTTGCCGCTCCAAATTCCACCGTTGGATTCCCACCAGCATTGTAAATAAATGTTTTTTTTTTCTTTTTTTTTCTTTTTTTTTAACCATAAAAAAAAAGAAAAAAAAAGAAAAAAAAAACATTTATTTACAATGCTGGTGGGAATCCAACGGTGGAATTTGGAGCGGCCACTGCCGAAGTGAAGCAGGAGACCTCGTGGGCCCTGAAACTCACTTTCATTATCGCCATTAATTGATTCCTTTTTTTTTTTGTTTAAGAGACGGCCGGGTTAACTCATCACTCGCATGCCGTCGACTGATTCAATCACTCGAGTGCACGGCATTGCATGCATAGTTTATAATTTATAATCTATAATTTATAATTTATAATTTATAACTTATTATTTACTATTTATGAATTCGTCGTCGTGACGATCAGTCACCAATCCAATCAGGCAATTAAGAAAAAGTGAAGGGGGAAAGGAAAAAAAAAGGCATTCCTTCTTGCGTGAAGAACTACGATCGGATAACAAAAATTTTAATTTTTAAGTAAGAAGCCGCAAGCAAGCACGAGGGAGAAAAGGAGTGATCACGCCGACAGAGACACACACAGACTCCAAGGAATGCCCAGTGCCACTGCAGGCAACAACTGCGGAGGAGGAGGTGACTGACAGAGAGACAGCCGCAACTTGCAAAAAACGCCAAAGCATTGTGCGGGAGGAACAGACAGAGAGAGAGAGAGGCAGGCAGGCTATTAAGGGAGAACGCACAGACACAGAGAGAGAGAGAGAGAGAGAGAGAGGGAAGAAAGAAGGAAAAGTGCAACGGGATCCACACAGGAGCGCAGAGGGGGAGAGAGAGAGAGAGAGAGAGAGAGAGAGAGAGAGAGAGAGAGAGAGAGAGAGAGAGAGAGAGAGAGAGAGAGAGAGAGAGAGAGAGANGAGAGAGAGAGAGAGAGAGAGAGAGAGAGAGAGAGAGAGAGAGAGAGAGAGAGAGAGAGAGAGAGAGAGAGAGAGAGAGGGAGGGACAGAAGGCGGTCTTGGGCGCGCAATACCACTGAGCGCTTGTGCGCGGCCAAGCGCGGTCTGTGCGACGGGACGGCTGTATTTTCGCGGAAGGGGAAGCGGGATCTGCAGCAGCAGAGTAAAATGCATGTTGTGCGGAAAAAAAAGAAAAAAAAAACAAATCCATAAAAAGGTAACAATAACAGAAGTAATATATACTCGTTTATTGTCCTCTTCTCTCTCTCTGCCTACGGTTTACCGGGCAGTTCTGTTTGTGACGATATACATATATTTAAAATATATATATTAAAAAAAAAAAAAAAAAAAAGGGCCCAAACTAACCTGGAGGAAACAGCAGCCTGGGATGGTTCTCCATCACTCTCTGCAGCGCCGCCTCTTCGTCGAACATCGCATGCTCTTCCAACGAATGAAACCAGCACGGAGGTGGATTAGCTATGCCCGAAGTTTGCATGAGGAGGTGCCTTATTGTCAGGGCACGACCGTACGGATGATCTGGATAGTAAGTAGAGACTGATTCGTCCAGCTTCAAAGTACCGTCCTCGATCATCTGCAATGCCGCTATGGAGGTCAGTGCCTTTGACGTTGACGCCATCATAAATCTGGTCCCCTCGGAGACGGGCCGGTCCTCCGCGACATTGCGCCGCCCTCCGCTGTAGCTGAACATCACCTTTTCCTGACTGACGACAACGTATTGAAATCCCGGAAACGAAGAGGAAGAAGAACCAGAAGAAATACCATCTCTCTCTCCCACTAGCTCTGCTAACTTGGGCTGCAGCCGCTCAGCGAGAGTGACGTTTCGCCGTATTTGCGCCTGCTGCGGCGTCGACGGCTGACGCGGCATCTTGATTGCTTGCTTGCTTGCTTGCTTGATTGATTGATTGATTGCTGCGGCGTCGGCGGATTATTCCCACTATCGAATTTGTTGAAAGTGTTAATTGGTTGGATTTCTTATCACTTGATTGATTGATTGATTGACTGATTGGTTGATGGGAAGGTCGATCGAACGATTGAGCAGCTGATTGATCAATCGATCAGTCGATCAATCGATCGATCGGTCTGTCTTCCGTACATAGTACACACGCTTCGACCAAAAAATAATTAAAAAAAAAAAAAAAACCTTCCTTATCTTACTACTGTATTTAATACTGTATAAATACTATTTACATCCGCACCCCCCGCAATTTTCCTCCCACCACACCACGCGGCGTTTCAGCTTTCAATCTTGATTAGCTCCGCCCCATTCAAAGTATTTATATCTGAAACACTCCCACACACTCCCTCTTCATCTCATGCATGGGGTCTTCTCTGTCGTCAGATCGACCTTATCGCAATTAGGAGGCTACTGGTAGCAAGATCCCGACCATCTGTCTGAGCATAGACGGTCTTACGTCTAGCAACACCCCGACCATCTTTCTGAATATAGACGGTATTAAGTCTATAGCAGCATCCCGACCATCTTTCAGAGCATAGACGGTCTTAAGTATAGCAACAACATCCTGACCATGATTGTCAGTCGCGGAGCTAAAGGCGTAGCCGTGCACGTGCACAAAAAATGAAATGAATAGGATGAAGAGAGATCAAGAGGATACGATGAAGATGTGAGATGATGATCCGACTCGCAAATGGAATAGAAGACGAAGATGAAATTATGGCGATAGTAAACTGAGGCCACGAACTTGCCTTTCGTGCGCGATTCGATGCAAAATTTTCCATATATATATATATATATATATATATATATATCGTCACAAACAGAACTGCCCGGTAAACCGTACGCAGAGAGAGAGAAGAGGACAACATATATATATTATATATATCGTCACAAACAGAACTGCCCGGTAAACCGTAGGCAGAGAGAGAGAGGAGGACAACAAACGAGGGGCTGTGACAAACTGTTTCGTCGGAGTTTCACCGATTCATATATATATATATATATACATGGATACATATAGATAGATATATTACAATCGCATGCACTAAGCTCAGGCAAACGCGCTCATTACCCGACGCCGCAGTCGTCGGCGAGGTAGCGCACGCACCGAGTACTCCTCAGGGAGGAGGGGGGGGGGTTCCCACGACCCGCTTTACGCTATGTGTACCCACATACCGTCTTCTGCCGCCGAACACAACGCAACCTGATAACGAATGTATACAAGCGATCTTTCCGGTCAGGTGCAGCCAAAATGAGGGTGCGTTGTGTGCGGGGGAAGAAGGTCTTGTCTAAACACTAAGGAATGAGGCCCGTCGGATGACATGATGAAGATCAAGTGGGATGTTATACACGATGAAGAAGAAGAAGAAGAAGAAGAAGTGAAGTGAAGATCAAAAATTGGACCGAATTCGATCCTCCATCATCGTGATTGAGATTACGATGATGATCCCCGGATTATGACTAGGAACAAAAAAAAAAAAAAAAAAAAAAGCAGAAGGATTAGGATATGACTAAATCGCTGACATCAACCACCGGAAATCGAGGAGGAGAAAAAAGAGACCTTGGCGCGCAGCTCCGTCGCACGATCATCAATCACCTTGAGAAGACGGGATCTCGTCCGTCACACAGCCGCGTTGCCAGCTCACCGGTTGCGTCGCCGTTTCGTGTCGTTTTCGCTCGTCGCGCACTCTTCCCGAAACGATGAAAAAAATAAATAAAGAAGAAGAAGAAGAAGAAATTCCGGCGCCCACAGACGCTTCTCTCTTTTTCTCCTGCCGCGAGACGTTTCACTCTTTCCTTGCAGTCCTCCGTTTTTTCTTCTTTCCTTCCTTTCGGACCCTCCTCCTGCTCCTTGTCGTATTCCACTTCTCTCTCCCTCTTCTTCCTGTCTCTTCTTCTCCTTTCTTCTTCTCCTACCTCTCTCTCACACTCCTTCTCCTACCCCTCTCTCACACTCCTTTCTTCTTCTCCTACCTCTCTCTCACCCTCCTTTCTTCTTCTCCTACCTCTCTCTCACCCTCCTTTCTTCTTCTTGTCCCTCGTCCGCTCGAGATGGCTATGGCCTTACAAACACCTGAAGAACCTCCGGATGTCTATCGTCGACGCCAATGCTGCGTGGATCTGAGAGAGAGAGAGAGAGAGAGAGAGAAATGTGGACCGGATGAAGTTGAACGAGTGATGGCGTATGCTTGCCGGCCGTCAGACTTGCAAAACTGCAGCAGATCGGAGAGTGACAGATGCCACACACAAGGAGAACGCCCACAGCGCCGCACATACAGGCCGAAAAGATTTGAATCAGCAGAATCAGTATCGTCCTCGTCAAACGAAAAAAAAAAACGAAGGTCACGATCGTTTTGCAGTCAGGCAATAACGAAGGCGTTCATAACAATACATACACTGTTGATACACACACACACACACACACA